TTCCTCACAGCCCATCCACACTTTACTTTCCCCCATGATTTCAAGTCCCAGTAGGAGAGTGGGGTGGTTTTTTATTGTCTTGCTACTTTCCCTGGGAAAACCCCCTCTTTACTGCTGAATCGGAACAAATGTCAATTGGATTTTACATGATCGGGAAACAGCTCCACCCTCTTGGAGCACGTACAAATGTCCCGTGTTTAGATTATTTTTTTCCCAGATAGTAGCAGACATTGCAAACTTGCCTTCTGGCCTGGCGATCCTGGACCCATCTGTTCCTAGTATTGCCTTATCGTCAGTTTCTCTACTGTAACATCTGGCTTTCCGGGGTCTTGGGGGTGGATGAAAGCTAGTACAGACTTGTTCCTGGAAATCCTCTTAACTGGAAATGAAAATTCAATCAACCATGAGTGACACTCACTTTTGGCTTCTACAGTTTTGGTTTCTTTTTAGTTTCGCTGGGGCAGAGCTTGCTTCCTCTTGTCCAAATGCTTCCTGGTACATTTTTAATATCAAGATCATAGAATTGAAGTGCTGGAAGGGACTCCGAGGGTCATCTATTCCAACCCTCCTGCAATTCAGGAATCTCAGCAAAAGTATCAATAATAATGATAATAATAATTTATTATTTATACCCTGCCCATCTGGCTGAGTTTCCCCAGCCACTCTGGGCGGCTCCCAATCAAATGTTAAAAACAATACAGCATTAAATATTAAAAACTTCCCTAAACAGGGCTTCCTTCAGATGTCTTTTAAAGATAGGATAGCTGCTTATTTCCTTCACATCTAATGGGAGTGCGTTCCACAGGGCGGGTGCCACTACCGAGAAGGCCCTCTGACTGGTTCCCTGTAACCTCACTTCTTGCAATGAGGGACCCGCCAGAAGGCCCTCAGTGCTGGACCTCAGTGTCCAGGCAGAACAATGGGGGTGGAGATGCTCCTTCAGGTATACAGGACCGAGGCCGTTTAGGGCTTTAAAGGTCAGCACCAACACTTTGAATTGTGCTCAGAAACATACTGGGAGCCAATGCAGATCTCTCAGGACCGGTGTCATCTCTCAATGACAGATGGCCATCCAACCTCTGCTAGAAAACCTCCAAGGAAGGAGAGTCCACAACCTCACGAGGGAATCCGCTCCACTGTCCAATTGCTCCTTTCTTATAACCTGAACCCATTACCCCCAAGTCCTACCCTCCAGAGCTGGAGAAAACAAGCCTGTTCCCTCTTTTCTTATGTGACAGCCCTTGAGATATTTGAAGGTGGCCCACCCTCTCCCTAGGTATCAAGGCAGATGATGCCATTTTACAAAAGCCGGTGGGGCTGGGAACAGAACAAAAAAAATACTCTCCAAAAATAAAACCAGGTAATGTATGCGACGTCAGCAGCAAGGGTTATAGTGGCAAAACACTGGAAAGATAAAAATACACCCATTAAGGATGAATGGGTAGTCAAATTGCGCAAGTACTTGGAGCTTGCGAAGCTGACAGATGCAATAAGAGATAAACCTAAAAAGATGGTGGAAGAAGAATGGGAGTGTTTAAATAATTATCTAGGGGATTAGGGTTTCTCAAGATAGACCTGGTTATGTTTAGAATGATACCGCATAGGGAAATGTTCCCTAATACCAAGATGGAATGCAGGTAGAGAGAATTGATAAGAATAACTATCTGTTGTGACCTTGACGGAAGCGTACAATAGATGAGCCGCTTTGTGTTTTGGCTCATCTTCCTCTTTTTTTCTGCCCCCCTTTTTTCTTTTTACTTTCCTCCTCCTCCTCCTCCTCCTCCTCCTTTTTTTTCTTTCCCATAATGGCTTATGTTCTATGCCACGTACTTTGATATTTTTTGTAGTTTTTTAGCTTTTTTCATCATCATCATTATTATTAAGCAATTTGCTTTTATAATTTTGATTGCCTATATTTATCTGTATTTTTTTAATACTCTCCAGTTGTGCCAAATCAAGCCATCCGATGGCCTTCAGCCTCGTCCCATATGGACCCACCTCTACCACAAAAGTCTGGCCAAAAGACTTCCAAACCAAATGCCTTCCGCAGTGCTATGTTAAACTGTGGAACTCTCTCCCACAGGAAAGCTTCTGAAAACCAGTTGCTGGAAGCCATGGGAAGGGGAGAGTTGCTCTTGTGCTGGCTTCCTACAGGCATCCGGTTGGAAAACTTGGGAAACAGGACTAGATGGGCCTTTGGCCCAGTCTAGCAGGCTCTTAAAAGATGCTTGGGCTCTGACTTTGGTGGCTCTCCAAAGAAAAGAGCTTTCCTGTGTGTGTGTCATTCTCTGTGTGTGTGTGTGTCTGGAAGCCTTTCCGAGGAAAACAACTGCACCCTACGCAAGTCAGATTGCGGTGAGGGTTCGAGAGAATGGTGCAATGCCGCCAAAATAGGTGTGTGTGTGTGTTTGTGTTTGTGCGGAGTTCAGGGGAAAGCGGGCTGCAGATTGCCCTCCCAGCCTCGCTGTCATTTCCTTATCTGTTTCTCATAAACCCTTCTTTTGCACCAGCCCTGTCCCTTTCTGAGAAGCGCCCGATTGCGTCAGCGCAGGCAGGTGCTGGGGGCTGTGGTTTCTTCTGTGGGAACCAGCTGGGTTTCCTCTGGTTAGCTGGCTGCGTAGGAGATGCTGAGTTTGAACCCTGCCACTTCTTCGGTTTCTCTTCTGTGACATCTCCAGCTACGAACAGCTCTGGTGCAGGGAAGTGGGGGGGACCTGCGTTCAACTTTCCCTGCAGTTGTTGTTCTTCTGTTACCCAGAAATGACCTGCAACAACACAGCACGATTCCTGTGCACAGACAGCAGCATAAACACACACACACACACACACACACACACACACAGTGAGATAAATAGGGAGATAATAAATTATTATTTATTGAACTTACTAGTCATTTTCCCTCTTACAGAAGTAACCCAGAAGCAATTTACAACAAGTCATTCCACTTTTTCATTGAGTTTTGTTCTGGAAGTGAAGCCTTGTTGTTGTTTAGTCGTTTAGTCGTGTCCGGCTCTTCGTGACCCCCTGGACCAGAGCACACCAGGCACTCCTGTCTTCCACTGCCTCCCGCAGTTTGGTCAAACTCATGCTGGTAGCTTCGAGAACACTGTCCAACCATCTCGTCCTCTGCCGTCCCCTTCTCCTTGTGCCCTCAATCTTTCCCAACATCAGGGTCTTTTCCAGGGAGTCTTCTCTTCTCATGAGGTGGCCAAAGTATTGGAGGCTCAGCTTCAGGATCTGTCCTTCCAGTGAGCACTCAGGGCTGATTTCCTTCAGAATGGAGAGGTTTGATCTTCTTGCAGTCCATGGGACTCTCAAGAGTCTACTCCAGCACCATAATTCAAAAGCATCAATTCTTCGGCGATCAGCCTTCTTTATGGTCCAGCTCTCACTTCCATACATCACTACTGGGAAAACCATAGCTTTTACTATATGGACCTTTGTTGGCAAGGTGATGTCTCTGCTTTTTAAGATTCTGTCTAGGTTTGTCATTGCTTTTCTCCCAAGAAGCAGGCGTCTTTTAATTTCGTGACTGCTGCTAAGCGAAGCCTTAGCCTGATCGTAAATGTTACTAAGAAGCGAATCCGGTAGCATTCAGCGGAGCTTATTCTCAGTTTAGATGTCTGTTTTGGATTTAATATGTGACCGTGGTTTCCTGCTAGCTCTCCTAGTTGTGGAGACCCCCAAGCTCCTTCTCACCCCCTTCCCCCTTCTCTCCTCCTTGTTTACATGCCAGAAAAAAAGAGACAGGGGCTTTCTACATCCAGAATCAACTCCCCATGATGCCCAAACTCCAAAACTGTGGGGTGTTGTTGTTGTTTTTGCTATGGTGTCAGAGTAAGCCAGGTTCTGAAACTGCAAATCGATCCTAACTAGAGTTTAATCAAGCCAGGGTTTCCAGGACATCACAGGGAACTGTTATTAGTTTACAGTTGGAATCAGAAGCTTCCACTCTCATCTTCTCCCAGGACACTTGGTTTTACATAATTTTACACATTTTATCTTTAACCATTTCAAACATTAAAACAAAAGGTTCTTTCAAACCCTCAGACCTCCCTCCCTTCATGCATTCCATATTTAAAATAAAGTATTCTGCATCTTTTACCCTTACCCATCCATTATATATCCATAGTTACCACAATTGATTCCACATTACAAGTGTCATTATATCCCTGCCAATGACTTTAACTGTTTACAATGGTCTTTTTAATATATTGAAAATTTTACTCCAGTCTTTTAGGAATACTTGATCTTCCTGGTTTTTGATCTTTCCCGTCAGTTACGCCATCAGTTTAGTCTGCCATTCCTCTTCTCTGTCCTTCCATCTCTGGGCTAGAAGCATTCTCACAGCTGTTGTCACAGACATAAAAAAGCTTTTCCTGTTACTCTAAATCCTATTGTCAAGGCTTGCGTGACCCATATCTAAAGCAGCAAACATGTACACAATGCTTTGAGCTGCTTCTACGGATGAGACGCCATCATCCATTTTGATCCATCACGGCTGCTTCAAAGCATGCCTGAAACATACCGCAGCTGCTAGCTTTGACGGATACGAAGGCCTCGGAGGGCCCAGATTAAGAACTTTAGTTATAGTAAAAGCTAAAGGGACCATTAGGTTCAGTAGTGGCCGACTCTGGGGTTGCGGCACTCATCTGGCTTTATTGGCCGAGGGAGCCAGCGTACAGCTTCCGGGTCATGTGGCCAGCATGACTAAGCCGCTTCTGGCGAACCAGAGCAGCGCACAGAAACTCCATTTACCTTCCTGCCGGAGCTGTACCTATTTATCTACTTGCACTTTGAGGTGCTTTTGAACTGCTAGGTTGGCAGGAGCAGGGACCGAGCAACGGGAACTCACCCTGCCGTGGGGATTCAAACCGCCGACCTTCTGATTGGCAAATCCTAGGATCTGTGGTTTATAGTAGACCTCTATAAATACATAACCAGCAGCAACCCGCATTCACAAACAGGTTGTTTTTTTTTTTGTCCCCTACAAACTCCAGACTCCCTTACACTTGGCCGTCATCACAGCCCAGCCAACTCTGGTGAAGCTGCTGTTGTCTCACGGAGCGTCGCCCATGGTGCTGGACCGCAACGGGCAGACCGCCCTCCACCTTGCCTGTGAACACGACAGTGTCCATTGCCTGCAGGAGCTGCTGGATGGGAGCCCTGCGCCTCTGGATCTGGAGGCGCGAAACTTTGAGGGTGAGCATAGATGAGGAACCGGGGGTGGGGGTGGAGAAATGGGTTGGTGTGTTGATCAGGACCCAAGGATATAACTCCCAACCCGCCCCAACCCGCTGCCCTAATGAAATCCGGAGCTTTGGTTAACTTCCATACATCGTCACACCACCCATGGGCATGGAGCTTCTCAGTTTGAGCACAATGGATGTGTTATTCAAACCCTGGGCAGCTGAATTTTAGTAGTTCTGGGGGTCCCCGCTGCCTATAGATTACTGGGATCCTGGTAGACCATATGGAAAATGGTGGTCTTGGAGATTAAAGCCAACATCTTCAACTTGGCATGGCAGCTGATTTTGGCATCTACATAGTATAAATTGAATGAATGAATGAATGAATGAATGAACAAAACATGTCTCTCCTGTTTCAGTCTCTATAGCCACAGCAGGCACTGAAACTTTCCTTGACTTTACCCCCAACTCTGCGCATTTATGTTTCGCAGGGTGCGAACAAAGGGCTTTGCGCCTTTATACAATATGCATGTGTGCTTGGGCCCAGGGTCTTATGCCTCACCATCTCTACTACTGACTCCCTGTTGCTACTCAGCTTTTAAAAAAACAAAACAATTGTCCCCGGATTCATTGAAAAAAATCTGGCAACCATAGTATAAAGTATTCCAAAAACGATTGCAACATAGGATCCTTCATATTATTATTATTATTATTATTATTATTATCATTACTACCATACACTTTTATATACTGCTTTCAGTCACAAGGAGACCTTATACATATAGCAGTCACTGTCATCTAAATGTAAATCCTGAAATACCATTTTAAACCACAGCGATAAAATTATTATTACTACTGTACTGGGTTTTCTACATCATTTTGTTATGTTTCCCCATTTTCTATTCATTATATGGACGAACTATCCTGCCTCCGTGAGACAGATAATCCTCAGATGTACATTTCCTTCCTTCTTCAGTTGTCTCATTTCTTTCTCTCTTGCTTTTTGACCAGGTTTTTCACCTCTCCATGTGGCTGTTGGAACCCAGAATCGTGACATTATTCTGACTCTGCTAGAACATGGGGCAGATGTTGATGCTGTGGTAAGTAAGCATGGGAGCTGCACTGAACTTTCTCAGAAGACGTCGTTCTGAGGAAAATTGAAGACAGGTTTCCTTTTTCTCACTCCGCTTAGAAGAGGAAGGCCATTTCGCGGAATTTTCTCTGAATGTTCTCCAACGTTTGTGGTGGCTGCCATTTCCCTCCCACAATGCCCCGCAACAAAGCTAGCCATTATGGAGGATGCAAAAGAGGGCCCAGGCTACGAACAAACACACACAGAGGCCACATTCAAACCATCCATGTAAAGCACTCTGGTACCACATTAAATGATCATGGCTTTCCCCCAAAGAATCCTGGGAGCTGTAGTTTGTTAAGGGTGCTGAGAGTTGTTAGAAAGCCCATATTCCGCTCCCAGAGCGGTTTAGCACTCCATCTCTTTTGCCAGGGAACTCTGGGAACTGAGACTCTCTGAGGGGAGCAGGGGACCCCTCCCAACGACTCTCAGCACCCTTAAGGAACTACAACTCCCAGGATTCTTAGGGGGAAGCCATGACTATATAAAGTGGCATCATAATGCTTTACATGGTTTGACTGTGGCCACACACACAGTCTCAGAGGGAGAAAGAAGGAATTTGTCCTCCCCTCATGACTAATGATGAACCCTACTCCCAAGAAACTGTTAGGGGATTTCCCTTCCTCTGAGAAATTCAGTGAAATCCACCTTCCCCCTTCCAGGAAAAAACACCCCACCCAGTAGTTGCCCACAAATGGAGTGAAGAATTTTGTTTTTGTTTTTTTAAGATATTTATTAGAATTTTCAAAAAAATTATAACAAAAAAACCACAAAAAACAAAAAAGACAAAAAATACATGCAAAAAACATACAATCACAAGTATAACTTCATTCCCTTATATTCATAAAACTTACTTTCCCGACCTCCTCATACCTCCCCTCTCTGCATTCCAATCTCTGATCAATTCTCTTCAGCAAATCCTTCCCCTAATTTCTATTTAAATTTTGACCTTTCTTTTCTTATTTGCATATTCATTACAGCTAACAACCACTTAATTTCTGAATCAACATCGTTTTAACATTCAGCAATTTTACAATATTTCTTAAGATAGTCCTTAAATTTCTTCCAATCTTCTTCCGCCGTCTCTTTTCCCTGGTCACGGATTCTGCCGGTCATCTCTGCCAGTCCCATATAATCTATAACTTTCATCTGCCATTCTTCCACGGTGGGTAGCTTTTCTGTCTTCCAGTACTTTGCAATGAGTATTCTTGCTGCTGTTGTAGCATACATAAAAAGTGTTCTATCCTTCTTTGGCACCAATTGGCCGACCATACCCAGGAGAAAGGCCTCTGGTTTCTTCAGAAAGGTATATTTAAATACCTTTTTCATTTCATTATAAATCATTTCCCAGAAAGCCTTAATCCTTGGGCAAGTCCACCAAAGGTGAAAGAATGTACCTTCAGTCTCTTTACATTTCCAACACTTATTATCAGGCAAATGGTAAATTTTTGCAAGCTTGACTGGGGTCATGTACCACCTATAAATCATTTTCATAATATTTTCTTTTAAGGCATTACATGCCGTAAATTTAATACCGGTGGTCCACAACCGTTCCCAGTCCTCAAACATGATGTTATGACCAATATCTTGTGCCCACTTGATCATAGCTGATTTAACTATTTCATCCTGTGTGTTCCATTCCAGCAGCAAGTTATACATTTTTGACAGATTTTTGGTATCGGATTCTAACAGTTCTGTCTCTAATTTGGATTTTTCCACCTGGAAGCCAATTTTCCTGTCCATCTTAAAAATCTCCATTATTTGATAATAGTGAAGCCAGTCTCGCACTTTATCTTTCAATTTCTCATAACTCTGCAATTTCAATTTATCCCCTTGGAGTGAAGAATTTTGAGAGGACGCCTTTCTCACAGCTCTAATATAGCAGGGTTCGAGAGAACTCTGTCCAGGAGCTGGATAACTCAGTTGGTTAGAGCGTGGTGCTAATAATGCCAAGGTGGCGAGTTCGATCCCTGTATGGGAAAGCGGCAGTTGAACAAGTTGATCCGCAGGGTCCCTTCCAACTCCATGCAAAGCTGCCTGCGTAAAACTGTAAATTTCAGCAAATGTACATCTGTTTCCATAGCTTGTTTATTTGCTGATACAGTGGTACCTCGGGTTACAAACACTTTGGGTTACAGACTCCGCTAACCGGGAAGTAGTACCTCGGGTTAAGAACTTGAATTTTACCTCAGGATGAGAACAGAAATCACGCAGCAGTGGGAGGCCCCATTAGCTAAAGTGGTACCTCAGATTAAGAACTGTTTCAGGTTAAGAACAGACCTCCAGAAAGAGTTAAGTTCCTAACCAGAGGTACCACTGTACAGTTTACAAGAGAGCAGGTCCCTGCCTGAGGAGCTTACAATATAAGATCCAGCACAATGGCGCTGGGAGAATGGATTGTAAACAAAGGGGAGCCATGTGCATGGGTAGGAGGTCTACGGTGTTGTGCCGAAAACTCCGCAGAAGGAATGGCTTTGAGGAAGGATTCTGGAGGAAGCGGAGACGAAATGGGCATCACAGCATTCCTGGGCAAGCGAGGCAGGGCGGGTGGAGTTACTTGAGGGCATAAGAGCTGTTTAGACAGCCGCAGGTGTGGAGAGTTACTTGCTCCTGCAAGTCACAGGGAGAGGCTGCACTCGGTCATCACGGCCCATTTGCTAGACAAGCCTCTGAACAGTGCCTTGTCATGGCTGTGAGATTTCAACATCGAACTTCCAAATCCCATTGGTTGCAGCCTCAGGAGATGACTTGCATGTGAAAATGACCCAACACAGATTAATCACTGCAAGCAAGTTGTCCCCCCCCCCTTTATTTCCTCAGTGTAAGAAGAGCCTGTCTGTTGGAACAAGCCAAAGACCTATCTAGTCCCGCAGCCTGTTCTCGCAGTGGCCAACCAGATAATAATAATTTTAGGGACGCTGTGGTCTAAACCACTGAGCCTCTTGGGCTTGCTGATCAGAAGGTCAGCGGTTGAAATCCCCGCAGCGGGGTGAGCTCCCGTTGCTCTGTTCCAGCTCCTGCCAACCTAGCAGTTCGAAAGCACGCCGGTGCAAGTCGATAAATAGGTACCACTGTGGCGGGAAGGTAAATGGCGTTTCCGTGCGCTCAGGTTTCCACCATGATGTTCCGTTGTGCCAGAAGCGGTTTAGTCATGCTGGCCACATGACCCGGAAAGCTGTCTGTGGACAAACGCCGGCTCCCTCAGCCTGAAAAGCGAGATGAGTGCCGCAACCCCATAGTCGCCTTTGAATGGACTTAACAGTCCAGGGGTCCTTTACCTTACCTTAATAATAATTTTATTATTTATACAGTAGTACCTCGGGTTACAGATGCTTCAGGTTACAGACGCTGCAGGTTACAGACGCCACTAACCCAGAAATAGTACCTCGGGTTAAGAACTTTGCTTCAAGATGAGAACAGAAATTGTGCAGTGGCGGGGCAGCGGCAGCGGGAGACCCCATTAGCTAAAGTGGTACCTCAGGTTAAGAACCGTTTCAGGTTAAGAATGGACCTCCAGAACAAATTAAGTTCTTAACCCAAGGTACCACCGTACCAGGCATGTCCAAAGTCTGTTTTGGGGGCCTAATTTGGCCTGCCAGTCAGTTTAATCCGGCCCCTGTGGCAGTTTATTTCCTGGGGTTAAATCCCCCCAAAAGCTCAACTTCCATCCTAAAAAAACCCCTCAACAACCTTGGGATAAAATTGTAAAAATACCTCAACAACTTCAATCCTAAAAAACAACAACTTTGGTCGGCCCTCACGCATGTTCACTTCATCAAATCTGGCCCTCTTTGAAAAAAAGTTTGGGCACCCCTGATTTATACCTTGTCCATCTGGCTGGGTTTCCCCAGCCAATCTAGACAGCTTCCAACACATATAATAGCATAATAAAAAGTCAGCCATTAAAAACTTCCCTGGACAAGGCTGCCTTCAGATGTCTTCTAAAAGTCAGATAGTTGTTTATGTCCTTGACATCCGATGGAAGGGCATTTCACAGCATGGGTGCCACTGCCAAGGAGGCCTTCTGCCTGGTTCCCTGTAACCTCACTACTTTCAATGAGGGAACCACCAGAAGGCCCTCGGCACTGGACCTCAGAGTCCGGGCAGAACGATGGAGGTGGAGATGCTCCTTCAGATATACTGGGCTGAGGTCTTTTAGGGCTTTAAAGCTCAGCACCAACACTTTGAATTGTGCTCGGAAACGTCCTGGGAGCCAAGGTAGGTCTTTTAGGACTGGTGTTCCGTGGTCCCGGTGGCTGCTCCCAGTCACCAGTCTAGCTGCTGCTTTAGTTGTAGTTTCTGAGTCACATTCAAATGGCTCAAGCCCTCAAGCTAAGCCTAGCCATTGTGGCTAGTAGCCACTCCTAGCCTTTATCCTCCCTGAATTTGTCCGGTCCTCTTTTAAAGCCATCCAAGTTGGTGGCCATCACTGTCTCTAGTGGGAGGGAGTTCCACAGTTCAACTATGCCCTGCATGAAGAAGATCATGCTCGATCGTCCACTTGGATCATGTGGTTACCATTTTCTGAACCTTTATTTATTTATTTATTTATTTATTTATTTATTTATTTAAAAGCACTTCTAAACCACTGGGTATTTTTTAAATCTTTAAATGGCGTGCGACTGAAAAAAATGTTTGTTTCCTTTTAATTCATCAAAGCAAAAATACAGTACAAAACCAGCGAGGCAGTAGTCTAAAAGCAAATTCAAAACAGGAATTTGGAGAATTCAGATGAATCAAAGTGTTTATGCCCTCAGGCGTTGACTCATGTGCAAGACTTTTCCATCGGCGGAGTCGGGCAGGGGGTGCTGCAATAAGGTCACCCGCACACTCATCGAATGGTCATCCAATGTCGGGCGATGTACAAACTGATTGAAACAGATGGAAAGCAGCCTTTCCCGCTCCCATAGCTTCCCTTATTTGTTGTATCACCCAAACTACTAAGTACTGTGCAAGATTTTTAAAAATGCAGCAGATTCTCCCTGCAGACTTGAACAAGCACACATACAAAAATAATATAAACTACAGTCAGATGTACCTTAAGGGCTGGAGACTGAACCATCCTTCTTAAACAGAAGCCTCTGGATTTCTTATTCTCAGTTTATAGCTGTGCAGTAACATGCAGGTAAAGGTAAAGGGACCCCTGACCATTAGGTCCAGTCGTGGCCGACTCATCTCGCTTTATTGGCTGAGGGAGCCGGCGTACAGCTCAGGTCATGTGGCCAGCATGACTAAGCCGCTTCTGACGAACCAGAGCAGCGCACGGAAACGCCGTTTACCTTCCCACCGGAGCGGTACCTACTTATCTACTTGCAGTTTGATGTGCTTTCAAACGGCTAGGTTGGCAGGAGCAGGGACAGAGCAACGGGAGCTCACCCCGTCGTGGGGATTCGAACCGCCGACCTTCTGATCGGCAAGTCCTAGGCTCTGTGGTTAAACCCACAGCGCCACCCACGTCCCTTAACATGCAGGACTATACTATATATTCTCGTTGGGGGGGGGAAGGTGAGGGATAAATAAATAATCACACACTTGTACAGCTCATTCGGTAAAGGGTTCGAGCCCCACCCGGGGCTAAAGATTGGACTAGATTAGGGTTGCCATATTTCAAAGGGTGAAATTCCGGACGCAGAAGTTCTTGAGGTTTTCTTTGCAAAATCTCCCTAAAAAATGAAGTTTTTGAGATTTGATTTTTTTTGGAAATTCACCAAAAAAAGCCAGCAGCATGAGTTGCCATACGCCCAGGTTTTCCCGGGCATTTTAAACAATTTTAAACAATTTCCGACAAACGGATCCCAGATATGTCCAGGAAGTTCCAGACGTACGGCAGCCCTAGATGACCCTTGTGCTCCCTTCTGACTCTTAACATTTAGATTTATGCAGATCTTTTTTTTTTTTTTTTTTTAAAAAAGCCACCTTGCATTTTATTGAAATATTCTTGAGGCACAACAGCAGTGCATAGATACAGATAACAGGGCCTACTGAAAAGGGAGTTTGACAGAAAGTGATTCAGCACTGAGGAGATACTGATTGCACCTTACTTAATGTTATCCATCCTACCCCACCCATGTTAAGCAGAATTCAAGCTTCCTCTTTCGTTTGTTGTTGTTGTTTAAGCTGTCATTCCTTCTGTGTGCACACACTTGCCGGTGAATGGGTCCATTCGCAGTGTACACAAGGGTGTCGACATACGGCTCTTGCAAAGTGAGGAAGCGTAGTAGGACAGGGCTTGAATGTAGCAGAATTGACAAATATGTTAGGTTCCCCCCCCCTCCACACACCCACACACCTTTAAGAACAGAAAGTGCCTCCTAATGCAAATCTAATTTCAAAGTCACAGCGCTACAAGTCCCAGAGTTGCTCGGGAAGAGGGATTGATAGTTAAAGCACTCTGGCAATTGTAGTTTTGGGGGCAAAATGGCGACTCTCCTGACAACTCGCAGCACAAACTGCAGCTCCCAGAATTCTGGGATTCTGTTGGAACAGTATCCTGGTGCTATAAATGTATAGTTCTGGTGGTCCCCCAATTCATTCTGTGCTATGGGGCAGGACAGAGGGCAGCTCCGGCCCTCCTTACTGTTTTCTGATGGCCCTCTAAGCTACTGTTTTTGGGACTGAAACAGGTTGGAGGAAGAATGAAATATACTTGGAGTCGAGAGTGGATTTCATGCTCTTTATTCAGTTCATAGTGCTGAGGAGGAATGGAAGTTCCCCCAGAATGTCTGCTTTATATACATTATTTACACAATGGGCCCCACGTGATTGGCTAATTCTGGGATTCTCCTGTAGGCCAATCAGGTTGCTGATTCACTTCCACCCGGAGCAGGATTGGGTGGCTCCTGTGGACTAATCAGACTGCTGCATTCTGGTTCCTATTATTCTAGGACCAATCAGACTGCTGCATTCTGAATCCTATTGTTCTAGGACCAATCAGACTGCTGCATTTTGGATCCTATTCAACTCAGTACATAACAAAGAGGATTGTGAATTCCGTTCCATCCTCCCTCCCGTAAACTGAGAACTGATGCAGGATTTGACCGAATCTTTACTCTCGCACTGTTGTGGTTCTCTTCCCACCCTAGGATATTAAGAGCGGGCGGTCTCCGCTACTGCATGCCGTGGAGAACGATAATCTGGAGATGGTTGAGCTGCTGCTCCAGGTAAGCTACTCTCACATCTCCCCTTGTGATCGTTTCGTAAGAGCCGAGCACCCTTGTTCTGTCCCAAATGTGGGGGGGAGCTCACTCGCACACATTAATGAGCGCAAACCTCTTGAGGGCCGGCCCTAACATTGGGCAGAGGCAGCGATGGTGTCAGGCGGCAGATTCTGTAGGGCAGGAAGTGGCGATGAGGTGTTGGAGAGCACAGCTGCGTGGGCAGAGCAGCCAGCCTGTCTGTCAGGAGTCAGGAGTAGGTCAGAGATAAGAGTAAAAAAACAACAACACCGGTGTCAGTGAGGTTAAGTCTTTATTCAAAGAAACCAAAACAGCTCAGGCCTAGTGATCGCAGCAACTCTTCTCAGTACGTCTTGTCCCAACTAGGCAGTTGCAAGGACTGAAGGTTCTTCCACCACCTTCCGACTGCTCCTTTCTCCATCCTTCCCCAGAAATCAGAGGTAGGGTTGCCATATTTAAAGAAGCTTTTTGAGCTTTTTTGAGGGGGGGAGTTTCAAAATCCCGGACATTTTGACAATTTCCCAAAATCCCCCTCCCCCGGCACTAATTCCGTCATTGGAATCCTAGACAGGTCTAGGAAATTCTGGTCATATGGCAACCCTACCTGAGGCTCCTTCGTCTTCTCTCTCAATAATACTGATAATGATAATTTTTATCTATACCCTGCCCTCCCCGGCCAGAGCCGGGCTCAGGGCGGCTAACACCAATAAAATCACAGTAAAAACATAATAGGGGGGAAGAGGGGGGGCAATTTAAAATACAGGTTAAAATGCAATTTAAAATGCAGCCTCATTTTAAAATAGCCGATAAATCAAGCCCATAAGGGGAGGGAAACATAAGGGTCAGACCGAGTCCAAACCAAAGGCCAGGCGGAACAGCTCTGTCTTGCAGGCCCTGCGGAAAGATGTCAAGTCCCTCAGGGCCCTGGTCTCTTGTGACAGAGCGTTCCACCACGTTGGTGCCAGTGCTGAAAAGGCCCTGGCCCTAGTTGAGACCAATCTAACCTCATTGAGGCTCAGGACCTCCAAAGTGTTGTTATTTGTGGACCTTAAGGTCCTCCGCGGAGCATACCAGGAGAGGCGGTCCCGTAGGTACGTGGGTCCTAGGCCTTTGCTCTGCCCTCGTCATATCTACATTTGTGGAATTGCTCTCCCTAGAAAGGCTCACCTTGTGCCTTCATTATAAACCTTTAGGCGCCAGGCAAAAATATTTTTCTTTAACCCAGCCTTTGGCTGATCCAATACCCTTTTAAAATGTGTTGTGGGGGGGGGCGCTATTGGATTATTCTTGTTTTTATTATGTATTTTGTATTACATCTATTAAATTTGTCTCAGGACAGTTATGACATAAAATCACAATATAAAATCACAAAATACATAGTAAAAACAAAAACAATCCAGTAGGAAACCCCCGCGCGCCCCCCAACAATAATAAGTTCTGGCAGACCAGGGGGGAGAGGGGAGCTTACCACAGCAGGAGGCAGGGAGACCCCTGGATTCTTCAGCAGCCGACCTCATCTCTGTCTCCTCGTCCCTCTCCTCTCCTGCCTCTGATTCTGGTCTGCTCTCTGCCCCAGCCTCTTCCTGCTCACTAAACCCTGTTGCCTCCCAGTCTTCTCCCTCCAACCGCTCGTAGTCATCCTACCACCAGTCCCCTGGCTCTGAGCTTTCTTCCCCTTGGGGGTTGCTTAGCTGGTGCCTCCCACCATTCCTTCGTGTCCAGTCAGTCCGTTATATCGGTGCCCTCCTGAGGATGATGCCCTGCCACTAACAAGATTCAGCTGCTGGCCTGGTCAGCTTTTGTATGTGAGATGGGCATGGTGGCATCTCGACCTTTGGCTGGGCAGCCAGCTGGCGCTGCGTAGACCCCTCTCCAAAATGGAGAAACAGCTTGCGTGCTCCAGAATCAAAAGGGCTACAAATAATACTTAAGTGGAAAACAACAACAACAACAACAATAATAATAATAATAATTTATTATTTGTACCCCGCCCATCTGGCTGGGTTTCCCCAGCCACTCTGGGCGGCTTCCAACAAAGATTAAAAATACATTAAAATGTCACACATTAAAAACTTCCCTGAGCAGGGCTGCCTTCAGATGTCTTCTAAATGTCAGGTAGTTGTTTATCTCTTTGACATCCGATGGGAAGGCGTTCCACAGTGTGGGCGCCACTGCCGAGAAGGCCCTCTGCCTGGTTCCCTGTAGCTTTGCTTCTCGCAATGAGGGAACCTCCAGAAGGCCATCGAAGCTGGACCTCAGCGCCCGGGCAGAACGATGGGGGTGGAGCCGCTTATATTTTCTCAAATCTGACTGTGGCATCACCAGATAAATTTCTGCAGTGCCAGTAAACCTAACAAGCCTGTGCTCCAGTGTTTTGCCCAACGGCCTCCTTGCCCAGGGATTTTTTCTTATTGTTAACCATGTGGGAGCGTTAGATTCCCTCAAATCTGCCCCCACCCATTCTGTTAATGTGTCCGTGTTTCTCCCCTGCTTTGCAGCACGGAGCCAATGTCAATGCTCAGTCGTACGGGGGCAACACAGCGCTCCATGCGGCCTGCGGGCGGGGGCTTCTGGAAACCCTGCGTCTCCTGGTGCGCAACGGGGCGGACGGCAGCTTGAAGAACTACCACAACGACACCCCCTTGATGGTGGCCAAGAATAAAAGGGTGAGAGGATACAGAGAGAGGCAGAGGACCTTCACGATGCCTCCATCGGAGCTTGGTATTCGGTTCTTCATAAGCTTTCTTCAGCCCGAACATCACAGCGGCCGATGCCAACTGACATCGGCACACTTAGGGATCCACAGTGTCTTCCCAGTTCATGTGACAGACCTCAGCAATTCAGCATTTTGGCTAATCTACTTTATTTACATATAAACACACACGGAGCACTGCAACATGGCTCCCTCTCTCTCTAGCATCAGACAGCAAAGAGAAAAAGAACAAAGGACAATAGTCCCACTTCACGGAACACAGTAACACAAACTTCCTGTTTCCGTCACTTGCCACTCTGTGGAGTCAAAACATATACCGTCATGTGATAGACAACAATCCCATGACTGCAAACACGAGGCAGGAATTCTAACACTGATCACCCCAGTCCAAGGGCACCAACACCTGCCATTTGTTAAGCAATTTTTAGATTGTTCAGTTCACTGTGCATGCGTTATCCAATGACCCTGTAGTGTAGGTCAGTGCTGTTAACCCTGTATCGCAGAAGGGAAGCCTGAGGCTGGGAGCTGAGGGTTCTTAGTGAGCTCCTGGTGGAGGCAAGATTTGAACCCACAACCTTCCAGTTTGTTGCTCACAGTTTCACCTGTTGCATTGCATTGGGAAGTGACAAGTTAGGAAATAGTCCTGGGAGATCTAAAAGGTGAATTGGCACTTTGTGGGCATGTCAGGGTGTTCAAGGCGAGATCTTGCAAGCGATCTGAGTGGTTGGGGAATTTCTTTTAAATCTCTCCTGCCTCTCCCATCATCAGGTGATTGACATCCTGAGAGGAAAAACTTCCCGCCCTGGGCCACCGCCTGAAAACATCCGCGAGGGATCGTCCCCAGCAACCAGCAATGCCAGCTCTCCTGGTATCCGACCCGTCCACACTGGTGAGTAATCTCTCCCCAAGTGCCAGACAGCTGCCATGTTTTCATCCTGCAGCTGCCTCAGTCCTGGATTAAAAGGGGTGTGAGAATTCGTATCTGAGGCAACAGATACTCTCGAACACGCATGCCAGATAGGGAGCGGTGTGCGAGAAGAATTGAGGTCAGGGAGTATCCTGCATGTAGGGCTGAACTCTGCCATTGGTAGATTAATCAACCAAACCTTTAGTTGATTAACCAATGGGGACTTTAAAAAAACACACCAAAAAACACCTCACCAATAACTGACAGGACAGCAAGTTAAGTACAGTTGTACCTCGGAAGTCAAACGCCTTATGACTCGAACATTTTGGCTCCTGAATACCACAAACCTGGAAGTGAGTGTTCCGGTTTGCGAATGTTCTTTGGAACCCGAACATCCTCCGCGGCTTCCTGATTGGCTGCAGGAGCTTCCTGCAGCCAATCGGAAGCCGCGCCTTGGTTTCCGAACGTTTTGGAAGTCAAACGGACTTCCAGAACGGATTCCGTTCAACTTCCGAGGTACGACTGTACACATTTTTATTTGTTTTGAGGCTACTATGATTTTACTGTACGATTTCCCATAGGAAAATTTTCTCCCAGTAGTTTTTGCTAAGTAGCAAGTTATGTTATGCTTCCTTTAGTATCTCAGAGAAGTGTTGAGGCTTTGGTAATAGGCAAAGCTTATTTGTCTTTTTCAACCAATTAAGTTCTTCTGTTGGGTTGACTGCGTTATTCTCCTCTGTGTTTCTGTCTCCCTCCAGGCTTGCTGAGGGCTTCGCCCGACTCCTGCCCCACCACCCCTAGCCCTGCCCAGACCCCGAAACCCCACAGAGCCGTGCAGTCCCCCAACTCGGCCAATCAGAAGCCCGAGAGCACCGCATCGACCAATGGGCCTTTGACACATGGCACCTTGCCTGGGGTGAAACTGGAAAGGAGCCCGACTCCGCCCACACCGGAGCAGCCAGTGGGATTTCCAGGGATGCCCAAGTTCTTCCTGCCAGTGGCTGAGAGCCTGGTGGATCCCGCCTTCCACGCCACCCTCTACCCTTTCGCGTCGTCCAGCCACAACTATTCGCCGCACCACCTCTGCCTCCTTCCCGCCGGCATGCAGCATTCCGTCATATCCCTGCCCGCCGCGCCCCAAGCCAGTCGGATTCACCCGCGGGGCGCGGAGGTGGACCAATCACAGACGCTGCTGGACTCTGAGACCCCGCCAGCCGCCGACCTCAAAGGCCAGTGGCCAAAGAGCAGAGACAGTGGTCCTGGCGGCAGCTGACAGGAGGAGATCGAGGGATCCTGTACACAGGGGGATTCCCACTCAATGCTCTGCGTCACCAGGCAACAAAGGGCCAACTCGTCCTAGACTTTTGCTGCTATGGGTTCCTGGCGCGAAAATGGGACTTGTATGCGGCTTCGGGACCCAGAGGGCCGCAGCTCTGACCGATGAGACTCCTGATCACAGGGTTGTGGGTTCGAGTCTCACCTTGGGCCAAAGATTCCTGTGTTGCAAGTGGGGTGGACAAGGCAACCCTTGTGGTCCCTTCCAACTCTACAGTTCTATGACAAAGCTGAGATGATCCTATGGGCTGTGGTGGGCCAGTCAGCTTGACCCCTAACTACAGTCCCAACAGCCTTCCATTTTCAGTTCTTGCCGCTTCTTTGGCTACTACCTAACAGGGCTATTTTTGCACGTTTGGAAGGAGGTGGAAACTGCACACCCCATTAAAAGGTAGCGCTGTAGTCCAAATTTGACAGTGCTTTCAATGCAAAACAGTAAGAGCTGGGAGGCACAAGATACAGTGGTACCTCTGGATAAGAACGGGATCCGTTCCGGAGTCCCGTTCGCATCCTGAAGAGAACGCAACCTGTGCATGCGCGGGTCACAATTCACCGCTTCTGCGCATGACGTCATTTTGAGCATCTGCGCGAGCGGCGAAACCCGGAAGTAACGCGTTCTGTTACTTTCGGGTCGCCGCGGAGCGCAACCCAAAACGCTCAGCCTGAAGCAACTTTAACTTGAGGTATGACTGTATCTCAGTCTACTCTCCCCACACGCTGCCCTTACTCTGCTCAGTAACACTGCCAGCAAGGCCAGAGGCAGCCAAATATTTAAAGGTCGCACCCTGTCTTGCCAGAGGGGGATTTTGGGCACTGTGACTGGTTCCCCCGCACCGGGCTGGAAGTCTAGGGGGCGCCGCAACCATGACAAAATGAATTGAGCGGAACAGAAGGTGAGAGGCAGGCGGGCACCGAATTTTGGCCTCTTACAGGGCACCGCTGGAATCTGAAAGGCCAAAACCCACCCTTGTTCCTGCCCCCTCCACTATAGGTGGGGAAGCAGCAGCGGTTTCCAGGGAGAGTGTGTGAGATTTTTGCCGATTTCGCCAGCCCCCAACCAGCAGCAGTGAGGCAGCACGACGGCTCGGGAAGTGGGGCTACCTTCCCATTTCGCCTCAGGCGGCAAAACGGGATGCGCGGCCCCGATTGCCAGGTTTCCTGGCCGTTTACAAAACAACGAATTTCAGGAAGTGCAATGTTAACGTGTTGGTGGTGGAGAAGGAAGAAGGTGATGCAAGGAAGTTGGGAGGGGGCGAACAAGGGGATTTTCTGAAAGTTTGAGCCGGAGAAAGAGGAATACCAGGTGCATTTTAAGGGACTGAAATACCAGAAATTCCCAGGCGGGTTATTGTCTTTAGAGGAAGTTGTGGAGGTGGAGATGATTAGTCAGGGCAATGAGATGATTAAGGGAGGGAAGGATGAGGTGTGGCTTGCTGGCTCGCTTAGTGGTCCTCCTGGCTATCAGATCTCGCCTGCGAGGACCAACCATCCTTCCTGCCCAGCTTACAAAAGAGATGGCCAACTGGGAAGAAAGAGGGAGTCACACGCAACTTTTGTCTTGAAAACCTCCTCCTTTGAAACGCACCACTTGAAAAATATCAGGGTTCAATCCCTGATATTTCTGGGTAGGGCTGTGAAAGACTGAAACGGCTGCCAATCTGTGGAGGTGATACTCAGCTAAATGGACCAATGGCCTGGCTTGGTATAAGGCAGCTTCCCCTTCGCTCTTGTTGGTATTGACCCTTGCATTCCCTGGCTCCACCACCGACACCCCTAAAAAACAAACAAACCCATGAAAACACCCAGTAGGGCGATCTCAGATCCTTCTCTTCCCAACCCCCTCCTCCCCTTGCAATCGTCTTGCCAGATGTTCCTTCTCTGCTTCTGTGGGACCAATACTTGAAAAGTACTAGTAGCACCCTCTGCTCATCCCGTGGCAAGAAAACAGGATGGGGAAGGGTCTTTTCCTAATTTGTCAATAAAATATTTTTTCTACTTTCAAAAGCTGCATGTGTGTGTTTTGGGGGACAGAGGTGAAGGCAACACCGATGGGTGGAGGTAAAGCAATGGGAATTCTGTTACTTCCTCCAACTCCTACTGCATAATCCAACATCTCTGCCAGGTGTGCTTACAGTATTGTTACACACCACCCCACTCCAAGTGGTGTGAGGTACCAGGAGTAATAATAATAATAATAATAATAATAATAATAATAATAATAATATTCATACCCCGCCCATCTGGCTGGGTTTCCCCAGCCACTCAGGGTGGCTCCCAACAGAATTGATGATGATGATGATGATGATAAAAAGCAATAAAACATCGGACATTAAAAGCAGGACTGCTTCAGATGCCTTCTAAAATTCAGATAGTTGTTTATCTCCTTGACATCTGACGGAAGAAGGGCTGAGTTTGCCTATTCCTGCTGTAACCTCACTTCTCGCAGTGAGGGAACCGCCAGAAAGCCCTCAAAGCTGGACCTCAGTGTCCGGGCTGAACAATGTGGGATGAGACGCTCCTTCAGGTATACTAGGCCGAAGCTGTTCCTGTTTCCTTTTGCAAACAGACACAACAGAGACTGTGGTGTCTTTATAATATATGGCTTATTTACCCATAAATATAGCCTGAGCCTGTAATGAAGCATCAGCTACCCAAGAAGTTCCAGCTCCTCTGGGACTGGCTGGATGAAGAGTAGTGGTTCGAAGCGCTAGCTGGGGAACCCCCCCTCCAAGGGAGATGCCAGAGGAGGAAGGATGAGAGCCAGGGGATTGGTGGTGGGACAATGAGAAGAGGTCAGGGGGGGGGAGATTGGGAGGAGGTGCCAGATGCTGAAGGGACAACAGAAGAAGAGGAGGAGGAGGAGGAGTTTGGATTTGATATTCCACTTTATCACTACCCTAAGGAGTCTCAAAGCAGCTAACAATCTCCTTTTCCCCTTCTACCCCACAACAAACACTCTGTGAGGTGAGTGAGGCTGAGAGACTTCAGAGAAGTGTGACTCGCCCAAGGTCACCCAGCAGCTGCATGTGGAGGAGCGGGGAAGCGAACCTGGTTCACCAGATTACGAGTCCACTGCTCTTAACCACTACACCACACTGGCTCAACAGAGACTGTTGAAGACTCTGGGGAGGGGGGTCTTCCTCCCCTGTTGCAACAAACTCCCCTCCCCACTGGTCTCCAAGAACGCACAGAATAATGAGGGCAGAACAGAGCTCAGAGGTGCGCAGGCGCAGTTTGAGACTGCTTGGAAAACATCCAGGAGAGGAGGAGTCTTGAAAGGGTGGAAGGCAGCAACCTTAAAGTCCTAGCAACTGCTCCATAGAGGTAAGACCTGCTGGGAAGTGTTGCTGAGTTGTATCTACAAGGTGTGACCGGAAAGTTCGGTGAACGGTCACAGAAATCGGACAGCGAGAAATATTCGAACATAACAATCGGCACTGGAAACCCACGAAATGCTCACAATTGTGTACGGAGATGAAGCTGTAAGTCGAAAGACGGCGTACGAGTGGTTGAAGCGTTTCCATGAAGGGCGGCAAACCATCGAAGAGGACCCTCAGTCCGCCAGGCCGTTGACGAGCAGAACAGCTCCAAATGTCAACAGAGTTGGTGAGTTATTGATGCAGGATGATGCGAATGATGGCGGAAGAATTGCATATTCCGCGTGAAATCGTTACTGAGGCTACTGAGTTGTCCCACCCTCCTTATTCTCCCAATCTGGCCCCACCGGATTTCTTTCTTTTTCCAAAACTGAAAACTCCACTGAAAGGGCACAGATTTTCCAATGTTTCACATGTCCAAGCTGCTCTGATGAGGGAACTGAAAGCAGTAATAAAAGAGGACTTCTCCAGAAGTTTCCAACAGTTCTATGAACGTTGTCAATAGTGCATTGTATCAGAGGGGGCCTACTTTGAAAGCCTGTAAGGTATGTACTATCGAATATTTCTCACTGTCCGATTTATGTGACCGTTCACTGAACTTTCCAGTCACACCTTGTAGTTTCCTTGACTAAAGAGTTAACTTCACGGACAACAGAGCCACACATCTTTTGTATGCCAGCTTCTCCCATAGACACAGCAAGATCCTTGCTCTGTATCTCAACTTCCTAGGTCACATAACGCCCTGTACTTAGAGCTTGGCTCTTTTTATCTGCAGAGGCAGGGCCCATTCATTCACATCTCACATGGCTCCTCTGATCCTGTGCTGTGCTAACGGCTCATTACCCCCAGGCTATTGCCTCAAAGGAAATTTGACTCAATTAACTCTTAGCTCATGTTGGTTGCCTGGGATTATCATGGTCTGATACTTTAGGAAGTTTGCCTGGCTTAATTACCTCTTACACACGCCAATTCCAGCAGATCAAAAGCATCCAACTGCACACACCTTAATACATATTGGGTCCAGCACCGTTCTAACACAAGCCATAATTAAATTCTAACACTAGCTCGATCCAGGAATTTAAGGGAGTTGGGTACCCACAAACTCATAACAGTATGCTAATGTGCTAGCTCATCACCGCCACTTGCCTCCCTTTGCAGCTGTTGATGCAATGAGTCTGGTTCATGCAACAGCGGGCTCCGGCTGCGGCTAGTAATGGCCAAGAGCAGAGAGAAATGGTGCACCGCCCTCCAGGCGCAGTTGGACTATAACTCCCATGAGCCATCATATATACATTGCCTAGAACAGGGGTGGGGGGAGCACTGACTGGGCAGCCCTGCGAAAGTCATTTCCCGGTTGGAAGCTACAGCTGGCAGTCACAAAATGAAACCACCTTCCTCCTCCTGGAATTTGCCATTTAGGGAGAGTTTGCCACAGGAGAATTTAATCTATCAAACTGTGCACTTAAGGTGGGAGGGAACCCCTTTTAAGTGGGTCCAAAGTGTTGGGGACCAGCTGCTGCACTTTGGACCATTTCGGATCAGACCCACTTCGCTTTGGAGGCAATTTGTTTACCTCCGGAGCAGGCCATTTAGGGGCTGCATAGCCCCTGATGGGGATAATATGTTGTCTTTTATAATTAATCCAACTGATTGAGCACTGCTCTGGAATTCTAAATAAAATTATGTATGACATAAAAATATTTACAATAATAAAACAGGATAAATAAATCTGTCCTGCCTTAGAGGGTTGTGGCAAACTGCTTTCAGCAACGGAAATGTGCTCTTTAAATGCTATCAGTTATGATTAGGACTTTCTACAGGCAGAGTTCCTGAAATATGAAATCCATAAAGGTCACAAACACACGGCAGCGTTGCACAAGTCCAGAATAACTGTGTGGTCTCTTGGGATTGCTCCTTGATGAATTTAGAGTTGAAGCAGTAATGTCAACTGCTTGTGTGTCTGTTTGGACTAACCTTGTGATGCCATTCCCGGGGGGAAATGGAAAACAAAAACTCAGGGTAAACAAGACAAGACGTTGTTGCCTTTCCGTGGAAGTGACTGGCACAGGTTCAGAGACCACTGATTCTGCAAAATTCAGTCGTGCTTCCTTCCTTCCTTCCTAGAGTAACGCTTGAACGAAGACGAGGACATGACCGGGGTGA